TATCGTATTTTTTTATTTCTAAATGCAAGTTCGATGGATTCCAGATATATTTATTAATATAAATATCATTATATTATATCAAGAGGGGGAAAATAGAATAAAAAATGTAATTATATACAACATTACTTTTTCATATAACTTTCCTAACTATTTTTTCTGACATTTTAATTTATTTTCCCATACTCAAATTTGGGAAGAAAAGTCAAAATGTTGGAAGACAAAGCAGTAAATACCCCCACATTAATGCCCATCTGCTTTACTGCTTTAAAAAAACCGTTTTTCCCACATAATTCATATTTGATGTAACTCCTTTCCTTTATTTATTTTATCAGCACTTTGCTTCTTCATATATATAACACCAAATCCATCCCCAAACTTTTCACAATTCACTCAGACCCACCACATTTTCACAGTAACCAAACAGCAAACCAGAAAAAAAATGCCTAAACGCCTTCAAAAATCTCTTCACCACTACCTCTCCAAGATCAAAAAATCACCTACAAAACACATCCATTTACCATCCAAAACCCTCTCATCTCCAGCCAGTTGGATCCTCAGAGGCTGCAAACACCCTAAAACACTCTCATTTGCTGCCAACGATCGCAACCCAAAACAAACCCACAACATCAATGGTGATGAAGATAGTGATGATGATGCAGCAACCCTAGAAGACATCGATCGCTTCATGTTTGAGAATTTCAAGTCACTGTATCTAAACGATGACGACGACGACAATGATGAACAAGACAATAACAACAATAACAACAACAACAAGAAAACAGGTCTTAAAGATGATCATGAGGAAAAAACAAATGGGTTTTCGCTCGAATTGCCTAGGGTTCTCAACCCACCACCAGACCTTTATAGCTCTCACCGGTTTTTCGTGGGAAACCCTAGCTCGTCGTGTTCATTAATGGAGGAAGCGAGGACAAGCTCCTCCACCACCACCACTACGGGCACTACTAATGAGTCAACGACTAGAAGAGTTGGTGATGATAATTGTAAACGAGTAATGGGTCCCGATGATTTTATCGCCTTGTTCATGTACTCGCCAAGCCCATACAATGATTTTAAGGATTCGATGCAGGAAATGATCGAGGCGAGAGTGGAGTATTGTGGGAAGGTGGATTGGGAATTCATGGAAGAGCTCTTGTTTTGTTACTTGGATTTGAATGATAAGAAGTCTTATAAGTATATATTGAGCGCTTTCGTCGATCTTGTCATTGTTTTACGGGAGAATTCCGGCAAGATTCCGGCAGGACCATGGTAGAGGAGGAGAGAATGAAGAGGAGATGTAAAGTAACGTGAGGTCTTAGTTGGATTTTAAAAATATTTTTTTGATAATTGGATGTCTAGTTAATTTACATACATTTCGACTAATTTTAAGAATCTAAAATTAACGATCAAGCAAACTTTCAGCAATTTTAAAAATTGGGATGCAAACAATTGTTGGTGTCTAAAGTACTATTTTTTATTTTTTTATTTTTAGCCTTGATATCACATGCAATATATGCATATAATATGAAATGTGTAATATATATAGTTGTATAATAGTAATGTTGAAGAAGAAAACTTTGAATATGAATAAAATTTTTATTTTTTTTCCCCACAACTTAGGCCTGATGTCACATGCAATATATACATATAATATGAAATGTGTAATATATAAGAGTAGTGTTGAAGGAGAAAAGTTTGAATATGAAGAATGAAGTTTTGTTTGTTTGTGGGTTTCGTGGGGAAAGAGATTTCAATAGATATTCAAATAGTAGTGTGTTGTCTGTTGCATGTTTCCCGGTGTATTAGTACGTACGAAATTGCATTTTCTAGGTAGAATATATATAATCTTCTTTATATGTTTATACAAAATGAAAAATTTTACATTAAGGTTTTGTTTGATTAATTAGATTAATAGTAAAGGAATTAATAATGAATAAAATTAGTGTAAGAATGGCTATTCAGCTGAATTAAGTGGTAATAAATAATTCCCTCTTATCTATTTTTATTTTACTAAATTTGTATATTTAACTGAATCTAATATGAATAACAAAAATTGGAACAAGTCCTATGGATTAATTATTTTTATTGTATACTATAATTCTGTCAATCAAACAAGCCCTAAATTTATACATAATAATATAATAAAAATGTATTTATTTATCTATTTCAAACTAAAAAACTATTAAAAACAATTAATTATTTTAAAAATGTTATTATTACATCATTTTATTCAGATTTTTTAAACAAAATTTTATTTGAAAATTATTTTCCTTAACATTTGTAATGGAGGGTATCATGGGTGCATATGATGCATTGGTCATTGAAGTTTCAAAATTCTAAAATTGTGCCCTGAATTATGATTTTATTGGTGGCCGTGACATTCTTTATCATTAGGTATTGAATACACTGATTGGTTGGTGAGACATGAACTACAACAAGAATAATAAATTAAGAATCGAAATTAAACATATATAAAATTATAAAAAAAAAATTATATTATTCACGTGAGGTTTTAACTCTCAATTCAACCAATGTAAAGTTTTACATTGTGAATTTTCATCTTAGAGTGTGAAACTTGAAATTCTGCCAATTACATAGAGTTACGAGTTCCATAGTATACAAAACAAATTTTCAAAAAACTCTTGTTTCAAATTTTATAGTATCAAATCCCAAATTTACTCGAGTACGATTTTATAGCAAATCTCAAACCATCGATTGTGTATGCCTTCGTTTGGCAAGCAAAAAGCCAGGCTTTTTTTGGCTAAAATAGCCACAAAAAACAAAATAGGCTATTTTAGCCACAAAAAACAAAACATCAAATCCAACCCATAATCATTACAATCCTCTCTCACAAAAAAAGTCAAAAAAGCCAAAAAGCCAAAAAGCCCTTCCCAAACCAGGCTAAAATAGCCCAGGCTAAAATAGCCAAAAAGCCAAAAAGTCAACCCACTTCCCAAACGGAGGCTATATATTGAAAATTGTGACAATGTAAAACCACATTTCTTGTAATATGTAATCTTTTAAAAATTTAGATTGCCTATTAGATGTTTGTAATCCCTCCCTATTCATAACCAAATTCAACAACCACGTTTCTCAAAGTTAGATATGCTCCCATCCATTAAGAGTAGTTGGATTACATATTTTTTAAATAGTTTTTTTCTTTTTTAAACAGTTGGAAAGATATGCTCCCATCCATTAAGAGTAGTTGGGTTACATATTTTTTAAATAGTTTTTTTCTTTTTTAAACAGTTGGAATGTGTTGTTATTGTTATAGGAGATTAACTTGTAAATTTTCCACCACTTACTGGCTTGTGTATCTCGTGCCACTTGTTGATCTGTAGAGAGAGATGACCCTAAAATGAATCGAGCTAGCTATTCAAAGTTTGATTTCATTTGATGTCAACTTATTATATAAACAAATTAAATTTAACATAATTTAAAAATTATTAAATTTTTAAAACCAAACTTGAATAACGAGGTCGTTTAGAAAGATGATAAAATAGTCAAAAAGCTATTAAAAAAATTAAAATATATATATATATAAGTCCAAATTTTCTTAATTCTTTCTACTTTTTACATATTTTTTCATTATATATATATATATATATATTTTCAAATACTTTAATTGTTTTATCTCATATTTTAACTAAAAAACAAAAAACTACTAAAACAGACACCTAAAAAATCAAGACACAGTAAATTTTTATACATTATAAAAAAATCAAGATATTTAAACTTGTTCAATTAAAACTTTGTTAAAATTGAGAGAGAGCTTTATTTTTGTGCAATTGTCAGTGGGACCTAGCAATACCCAAAAATAATGTGTTGCGTGCTGTGGCTTTGAAAGGCTGATACTTCCACCGAAAAAGAGGGTGGTTGGGTGCAATTTGGAAGGTATGAATAAAATAATGTCTAAGACAGTCAAAATTGAAATTACATAAACAACCCCCTTGCAATGTGAAATGTGTCTTTTTCTGTTGTTTCAGTAGTGTTGCTTTCAAACCCTGTTGCTTTATTCCAGCCAGTATCTTAGGGAAGAAAACACCCTACACCATTACCTAAAGAAGAAAACATGGTTGGTGAATTATCAAAGATGAGTGATTAGCGATGAAGGATGGACAAATCTGATGGTCTGCGGTTGGATTGGTTAGACTTAGCTGAAATTAGTGGTTGAAATGTAGCCGGAGTTCACAGGGTTGTGGAGGTTTGTCAAAGAAAAAAGTTTGAGGGCCCGAAATCAGTGGCTCGAATTCGGCTCGAAACCCAAAACGACGTCGTTTTGGGTTTAATTTTTTTCTTTTTCTTTTTCTTCCTTTTCTTTCTTTTCTTCTTCTTCTTCGTTTTTGAACACAGAAGAGAAACAGAGGCGAGAGGGAGTCGTCGCAGCTCGTCGTCATCGCAACTCGTCAGCCGATCGTCGCAGCTCGTCGGCCGATCGTCGCATCGCAGCCCCGCCTTCGCCTCCAGCCCCATTTTGATGGCCCCTCCAGTTCCTTCCTCCTTCTCTTCTTCTTCCTTCTCAAATTCGAGCCAAATTCGAGTCAAAACTTTCGGGCTCTGTAACGGGACTGTTTGTCAAAACATGGTCAGATATCATTTACGGTGATCATTTGATCACTAGAGCCCGCAAGAACATGGCTAGGAGTCATTTTCCAGGGCGTTTATTCAGAGAACCTTTTGAAAACACTTTTTTCCTAAAAATTTTGAAATCGATTTTAATTTTGTTAAAACAAACAAATTTAGAAGATAAAAATAAAAAAATAAAAAAAGAGAATGTTACCAAATGATAGGCCTAGAGGAATATCATCATTGCCTTCACCCTTCTTGTATCTCTTGTCAACAAGTGAAATTAAGCCCCAGACCTAGATAATGTTGAGAATCCAACTACACTACATAATGTTGAGAATCCAACTACATTTGTGGGGGAGAGCGCCCAACCAGAGGGTTTGTGGGGGATGTATAAATTCATTGCTTCTCCCTAAAATCTCGAAAGAGGTTTCTAATTGGGTAGCTCATCAAATAATTATCTTTCTGGGTAATACATAGAAGACAAAGTTAGCAAAAGTAAATACATTTATGTAATTTACAGTACAAAGGATACAAGATTTGTGACAACCTTAGATGCACAAAAACAAGAAGGAACTGTCTGATTTCCCTATGCAAAAATACTAAAAGCATATATTACAGTACATTTCATCTTCCTTTTTGTGAGTTCTGGTGGGCTGAGAAAACCATAATACTAAGGACTATCTTCATGTCTACATTTCAAACTAAATTTCCAGGCTTTTTTTGTATCCCCCACTTATTTGCTGATGCAGCTTTGATTTCAAACAAAACTTCTGATTCATTAAGCTTCAAAATTAGTATAGATGGAGCACCAAATTGTACCTTTCGTAATCTGGAGGTGGCAGCCCCACAACATAATAGAGGAAATGTTTCTTGGACTTCCTTGACAGTAACTACACTAAAACTATAGCTTTCATATTGTGTATGTACTTTTCGTCTCTCAAAATCGCAAAATGATGTTTATTTTTCCATTAACCTCAAATACTCTGCATATTAAAACATACAAAGTAAGAAATTACCAAATGTTCTAAAGTATGAACACAAATAGAGCACATATACAGATTCTTTTTGGCCCATCAAGTAACTTCATCATTTAGTTATCAAGCCTTTCTGAAAATCAACAATAAAATTCTGCTCTCGAAGAGTTTATCTTGCAAAGCATATTAAGCAAAAAATAATAATTTAATTTTTTCCTCAATTCTGAAACTAGTTTACTCAAATTGCATTCAATATGCCAGTATCACTTGTGTTCAACTTAAAATCTCAAGTACAGTACTACATTTCATCGTACTAGAAGGGAAGGCACATACTGTGCCAAATTGACAAAATATATATATATAAAGTAGTTGTAACTATTTTGTAAGTGGAAAGTCAGGTTTTACTTTTGGAAAATAAAAGTCCACAAAACTTCATGAACACCAAATTGGGTGCTCCCTCTCTCTCTCTCTCTCTCTCTCTCTCTCTCTATATATATATATATATATATATAAGTATATAGCTAACATTTGTTTCGATTTCAACAAGATACTGCTAAGCACAAAAAAGATATGATTTCAACTCCTTATACATGCATATTATTATTGAATATTCAACAGCATTTATTCAGTTCATCTCATGATAGTAATGGCTCTATCAAATATCTTTTGACACTAAATCATTCGACAATAATACTCACCATATTTCTGTCAATAGTATACTAAAAGTGCAACACCTAGAATTATATAAATACTTTACATGGAAGAATTTCTTACTTCATAAGTCGACTGCGTTGTCACTTCTTTTAAGGTACTGCTCATATAAGGAATGATACTTTGCAGGGATATAATCCTTGAATCTGTCAACAATGACAACAAAAAGATTGAGATCCAGGCAAGCAGATAAAAGACTTTCCACAAATATAGTTGAGTGCAAAAGGAAATTCCTTGAAAAGAAGTTGATGGGATTATAGGAAAAACTGAAAAACTGCAGAATAATTTGTAACAGGAAATAAATTCTCTCTCAAAAGCAAGTCCAAGAGGAGCTAATTCTTGTAGATTCATGTGCATACGATATTAGATGATGTGAAAGTGCATGGTCAACACACACCTAAAGCACTTGCGTTCTGCTTGCAGCCAATACAATTAAAACCTAACTTGCAGGAGATTCAACAACCAAAGCTACTGGTTTGGCATATTCAAACCAAAGATTTGCAAATGCATCATTCAGAAGATGGTTCCCATCCAGAAATCCTTTGACGTCTGTTGGTTAGTTTTTTGGTTGATGCATATATAAAGAAAGAGAAAGAGACACATCCCACTAAAACAACTATTTGTTGTTGCATTCTCGTAGTATGAAAAATTAAGTAAGGAAAGGGTTGTCTTAAGGCAAGGCTAAAGCAATTGACCTGAATAGAGAGTTAAATCAAATTACATAATAACCTCTCTCTCTCTCAAGCAGGTTCAAAAGGCGCTAATGGTGTAGATTTGTGTGCTCAATCCAAAATAATGAAGATAAAGTCTTGTTGGATTGACTTGAATAGAGAGTTAAATCAGTTTTAATTTAATAGAAAGAGGGAAGCCATTGGGAACAATGGATGTATCTGGTTCATCAAATGCCAACTGCTGACTGAAATTACAAAGAAGTGAGCAAAGAGTGCAAGCACATCTACACACACATGCAAGATGCAATTCCATTTTTTTTTTAAAATACAGGAGTATATCCAGAAAAAAGCAAGCTAAAGTTTGATACATTCCATCTCAAGTTACTAAATCAGAAATGCCAACATGCTTCTAGGAGTATCTGTACTCAAAAAGATCTAATGAAAGAAAAATTACCAGCAATAGAAAAGTGTATCCCGTGCAACAAATAACACATACAGGATGCGGTGTGTTTAGGCTTAAGTATCTAGCAAGTTATATCACATTATCAATTTTGTTCTTGGATGCGCTCAGTCATATACTGCACAACATATGATCCAATAAAAATAAAATGACAAAATCAAACTTGTGCATATGATATACTCCAAATAGCAAGATATTAGAACACAGGACAAAACTGCTGGGATATCACAATCAAAGACTGCAGGAGGTGCAGCAGCTCTTTTTTTGTTTCACTAATTAATCAGTAACCACACTCAGGCAGTGAATAGGTTCCGTTATAAAGAATGATTTTGAACCTTATAGAACTGGTAGTGTATATCGCGCTCTTACCTTTCACGAAGTGGGAACCTATCTGGAAAAGAGAATAATCTCACAATGCATTGTAAAACTTGATCTATCTTCATGGTTTTAGACTTGAGTGCTTTCATAAAACCCAAAAATTCTTTATACTCTGCATCAGTAAGCTTCTCTTTAACCTGTAAGGCTCACAGTTCCAAACATATGCTTAGTCAAAAACTGTTCATTGACATCCAAGATAAGGAAAGCATAAGATGGTCACTTTACCTTTCTTAATTAGAGAGAGAACAATATAGCAGTATTCAGAAATAAGAGTTCCAAAAAGTTGAATGTAACATTACTGCTAAACCTACTCGAGGCTACAATGTTCTTCTGCAAAATATGCATTCCATGAGGAACTTTTCAAGATACTTTGTAGGGGTACGTCATGGAATACTTCAATTTTTTTTAGGAATGAACTGCCAGGGAAACTCCTTTAAGGTCATTTTTAAAACACGCCGAAACTTCATAATACCTAGTTATGGAAAGACTCTCAAGGATAAGAGACTAAAAAATCCTTATTTCCTAGCTTACCTCGCTGAGGTTTTCTCACAAAGTCAATCAACTCATCTCTAAATTCAGTTATTTTAGACACTTGGGCTTGCTTTGATCTGATTAATACATTAATTCAAGTTATCTACGGGAGTAATGACCTTTCTTTTTCAATTGCATAATTCAATAAAGAGCATAAATATATGTAAGAACAAAGAAACATATGTGAAAGGAGGATGGTGCATGGTAGGGACAAGATGGTGCCGACATTAAATTTCAAGGAAGAATTGTTATGTTTAATAGTCAAAATGGAGGTGATAGTAGATACGAAATCTCAAGGGATGCTTCTTACTTGAATTCTAGCTAAAATCATTTGGTGACTAAAAAAAACATAATTATTTCTCTCATTTGATATGTTGATGATGACAAATCTCCTATTATAAGAATACACAGGAACAATTTATATGCTTGGCCTGTCCTCCGTCTCAGTCTTGAAAATTCTCGAACAATTGGTGATCGAGTTGTAATAGAATATAAATCTATACAGAAAGGAAACACCAACAAGTATATTTATTTTTTTAGTCCACAATTTTCCAGACAACATAAAAAAAATTAATCTGTAATATGGGGAGTCAAACAACATTGACAAAGAGAGAGAAAACATAGCCTGATTTGCATATCAGCTATCAAAATATTATTGTCAGATAGTTTCTACTAGACCACAATGTGATAAATCATGGTTGTCCCAGCATGATAAAAAGTAACCAAGAGATTAAATGGGTGGAGTTGATATAAGGCTCAAATCTCAATGTTGACCAAATGAATCTAGTTTGAATTTAACCTGGATCAGAAAAGCATATCCTTTTCTTTCTTCATCACCACAAGGTGAAGGACTTGACAGAACCACCTTGTTTTTCTCACTAAGCATTTCTGTTTTTCTTTGTGCAATCATCTCATCTCCAAGCAGCACCGCTGAACCAACTTCAGCATTTTGGAAGCTTCCATAATCGCTGACCTGCAATTTCTCGTGTTTCACCAAATTGTTTATGGTAGAAGTGGTGTTCAGCTGTGCTTCCCTGACAATCGATGAAGGTTCATGAGAATTCTCAATATGTTGTGTTAGAACAGGCTCCAATTTAGGCTTCTTCAAAGAACATGATGCAATCAGTCCTCCCCTTGTTTCTTCATCCACTGAGGAATTACTGGTCAAATCTTGTTCACAGTTTATTTGATGTATACTTTTCCTCCCAGGAATCAACAACTTTTTCTGATTGCTGAACAGATCACCTGAATGTTTCAACATAAAACTCGGCTTTTGCTTGTACGGAGTCAGAGATGAACGATTAGCAGGAAGAATTCCTCCCCATTGGCTAGATATGTCTTCAACCTCAGATGTAGAAGATGAAAACTTATTACAGCAATTTGAATCTATTGGCATGGTCTGCATACAAATCCACCAGCAAGAAAGAGGAAACAGTGAAAATAGACAAATGCCACGGATAACTTTTTCTACAGTGGAGTATGAGTTATCACTCAGAAATAATCAAAGAAATACCAGGGGAGCAACTAAGTTTTCCAAGTGAAGTTTGTCAAAGGGCCGTGCAGTTTCCAATTTATTCACATTTCCTGCAACAGGACATAAGCAAACCATTAGCCATAGCATATTCAACCAACTTTTTAAATTGCACAAACCAAGAAATCTGTGCAAAACTCACCCTTGAAATAGAAATGAGAGGACAGTTGGGTTCGGTCTCCAAAATGATTCAGATAATTTTAGCAAAAATAGCCTTTAGGTCAAAAGACAAGCATACAGACATTACAAACTTTAAGATACCAAAATAAGTTCTTTCAAGATATCAACAAACAGAAAATAATGAAGCAATTTGGTTTCCCCATTACCCAAGTGGTATAAATAGTATTGGAGTCATTTTCCAGGGCGTTTATTCCTTTATTAGGTTAAGTAAAATTCTTATCAGAACCAGATACAAGGAGGTGATCAATTTGCTGCTCTTCTCTAAATTATTTCAATTAGGATTTGGAAAGTACAAACCGGTGTAAGAATCTGCTATAGAACTCTAACTCAAGGAGCTGAAGCACCTTTTAAATGCGTATTTTCTTCATATAAAAAGAGGTAATCTAAATTTGATATTTGGAAAACTACAAGATGTGTATGTTGGTTTTTGTACACTTCTCCTTTTGGTTTTTGTAGATTTTGTGGAGGATTTGATTTGTTAGTTTTGTTTAGTCCTTTTGTGGGCTACATTTTTGTATTCTTTGCATCGTCTTGATACTTTTTAATAAAGTTGTGTTTACATCTCCATTCATATATCATTAGTAATATAGCTCTTAATGAGATTATCTTCTGCAAACCAAACTTCTTTATCACCCCATACCCTTTGGCTTTTGATGATAAGCTTGATAATCAATAACCATAACCAGGCAATTAAAATCTTGGGCTCAGAAAGTTCAAAATACTAGAAGAGAAAATCCAAACAGCTTTACTGATTTTAAGCCACTGCACTGCAATCAGGAAAAGGCCACCAATTGCAATTGACCCTCTACTTGCCAATACTTTTATTGCAACTAGCTTGGAGTAAATTTCATAATTACTTTAATGGACAAAAAGATGAGACAATATGTTAAAATCCACCTACTCTCCACCTACTTCACCCACTTAAACCTACTCCACTAAACCTAACCCACTACACCACTACCACCTCACCTACTCCACTAAACCTAACCCACTAAATCCACATACTCTCCACCTACTTCACCCACTTAAACCTACTCCACTAAACCTAACCCACTAAATCCACATACTCTCCACCTACTTCACCCACTTAAACCTACTCCACTAAACCTAACCCACTAAATCCACATACTCTCCACCTACTTCACCCACTTAAACCTACTCCACTAAACCTAACCCACTAAATCCACATACTCTCCACCTACTTCACCCACTTAAACCTACTCCACTAAACCTAACCCACTAAATCCACATACTCTCCACCTACTTCACCCACTTAAACCTACTCCACTAAACCTAACCCACTACAACACTACCACCTCCACTTCACCTACTCATTACCTACTACACACTCACCCTCTCCTATATATAGGAATCATTGTAACCATAACATAAATATCAATCAATAATACAATTCTCTATTTCTCTTTATACATTAAATTTCTACAGTTTACACAAATTTAAGGTACTTCTAGTGTGGAGTAATCTCCTCGGATGTTGCTGCCCGTTCCTCGAAAACGACCCAACATGCGTTCTTAAACCGTTTCTAGCATTGGGACTTGAACGGTCAGCCTGCATTGTCTGGAAGTAATATGATGAGCTGGCCATGTCCTTGAGGTTTGGCAGAGGCTTTAACGCTTCGACAACTTCACTCATCAGAGGTCGGGCTTTTGGGTCCCGGCTAAGGCAGCGAGCAGCCAACTGTGCGGCTTTTTGGGCACCTTTTATCGAGAAGTGGCCTTCGAGCCGGGGGTCTATCAGTCTGTAAAACTTTCTTCTCTCTCCTAGGTGTGGCCTCGCCCACTCCACTTAAGTATTGTTTGTCCATTGAGTTATTGTCGTAATGTAATGTAAGAAGATCGGAATGATTCTTTTTTTATTTTTTTTGTGTTGCAAGATTCAATTTATTGAGGAATGAATGAAGAAATTAACAAGGGGGTTATTTATAGAGTTTTTCTATGGAAGGTTTGGAGAACAAGTAACAAAATAGTATGTATGAATTGTCTAGGGATGACCAAAAAAGGAATATGCAACATTCACAAGAATTAAAAAAATGTGAGGTGTCTTACTATTTTTGGTGAATTGTGGTCTTGGGACATATTTTGTAATATATTTAGGCAACAAGACTGTAGTTTCAAATCAGTTAATATTTTTGATTGTTGTGACCAAGTCTTTGTTGTATTTTTAGTTAAAATATTTCAAAATACAACATACGAAATTAATTTAGTTATAATTGTAAATTTTATAATGAATTTTCTTCAATTGGAAATCATATTTGTCCATTAGTAT